TACTGACATAAATGAACATTTGCACGATATTCTAATTTTTCGAGTTTCACCTGTAGATGGGAAGACTGTCAGAGAGGGAGAGGGAGAGCGCCAGTGGATGTAGTGGTTAATGTGGAACCCGGCATGGTGAGAGCCAGGTTCTGGTCCATCCTCCCTGGGTGACTTTGGGCCATCCCTCTTTCTCAGCCCAATCTTCTTTACAAGACTATTGTTGTGCAGAAATTAACAGGAGGCAGTGGTGCTGGGTACCCCACCTTCAGCTTTTGAATGAAAAGCAGGAGACAGATGAAATGAACAAATAGCTTCCACTGTGTCATGAAGCCTAGCATTCCCTCTTGGTTAATGAGGTTGTTGTGGGATGCTGGATACGTCTTTTTTTTTTCTATTTATAGGCCTCATGCCTCTAAATTAGGATTTAATATTAAATATCATAATATTTATTATGACTGACATCTTTCTACTTGAGCCCGATGGAGGGGTAGTACTTTTAGCAAGAGCTGAAGGAGAGGGGAAGACTTGCAGCTGCCTCCATCCTTCCCTTCTGCAGCAATGCTAACCTCGTCTAATGTTAATCAGGGTTAGCTTTTAACAGGTTACAAATCAACTTTGAAGCTTAGTTTCAAAATGTGGTTAAGTAGCCTTGGTGAACGCTTGCCATGGTTAACATCGGTATATGTATAATTGTTGATACTAGCCAGGGTTTATTTTAACCATGATTAACTCTGTTTTGTTCCCACAAAATAAATTATGGTTTATAGTATCCGAGATCATGATTGTGCTAAGCTCAGACTATATCAACTACATAATCACGTGGTCCAGTGTATGAACGTAGCCTTCAGCTCAGCTGGTAGTCCAGGCTCGGTCTTGTACCTGTGGCTGAGACCTGTGTGGCCGTACGCTTCTAACAGGCCTTCAGGTGGTTTTAGAATCATTCTTAAACACCAACGGTTTTAAATACACAGGCGTACGGAAGGGCTGTTCTTGTCATTGCTCTCTCTTTTCTTTTCCAGGTGAATGGAGCGAAGCTCTCTACCCTCTGCTGACAACGCTCACAGACTGTGTGGCCATGATGAGTGACAAGGCAAAGAAAGCCATGGTCTTTCTTTTAATGCAGGACAGTGCCCCTACCATAGCTCTTTGCTTAAGCCTTCAGTACCGGAGGGATGTTGTCTTTTGCCAAACTGTAAGCAAGAACGGGGAACGTGTGTGTTGGGCCTTGGGGTTTGTGCTTGGAAGATGAACGTTGAAAACGGATTACTCAGAAGGGGGCAGCCATCGCATAGGGCTCTTCAGCAGGTTCGGAACCAGATAACACAGTCTCAGATTTCTAAACTTTTGGGATATTTACAGCGACTCCACGTCCTTTATTATAAAGGACAGTCCTTTATTTCAGAAAGCTGTCCTTTAGAGTTATTTATTTATTTTTCAAAAACTCACTTTTGTCCTTTGTTTTGGTCGCTTAACTTTTGTTCGTACAAATGGTTCCAGTTAGTGCAGAGTCTTTCACGTTCGTGTGAAAAATACAGCAATTGAATTGTGTTTTTAAGATAAATTTACATATGCCGTTTTAGATATTTTGATTAGGGTAGGCGTTTTTGTAAGGTTTTTCTTGGTTTTGCTCCTGAATTTTCCTTTGTAAAGCAAAGTTGTAAACATAAACAATTAAAAGTTTTTATCCTTATGAACCTTTTTTTCCCAAGAAAATATGGTCACTGTAGGGATATCGCATATTGGCCTGCTTTTAAAAACAACTTTCAAGCCTTGGTGCAAGATGATTAGAGCCAGCATTAACTGACACCAAATGTAGAGAACTTTCATAGCAAATCTTAAAATAATGGCACTGAATTTTGATCTGCTTCCAAGCAGAATTTGAAGTAGTGGCATGGGCATTTAGGAATTGTATACCTGAAGGACTGCTAGGCCATCTGGATTTTGAAATCTCCCTCCAAGACCCTGTTTGGGTCATCCTCAAGAAGCTGTTAACTCAGGATTTCAGTGCTGAATGGTGACATCCTGGCTTTAGAATACCCTGCTATTTCCAGATATCCAGTTGACCTTGTGCTGAGGGAATTCATTCACATATTTCAGTAATGTTAAGTATTGGGTGGACGAGTTTTGAACAGTCATTAACAGGTCCATTAAAATATAATTTAATAAAATGATGCTGACTGCAAAGGTTGGATAGGTATGGTGCTGAGTTTCAAATGGGTACTCAGGTGAATTGAATCTCCCACTTCTGAATCTCCCACAGCAGTTATGAGACACACTGATAAATGGACATACAAAAAGTGCAATAAAACTGATAGTGTAAAAAACAATTACAATTCTGTCTTCAGATTGCAGTGGAAGTCTAATGGTCTTTATGACTCATCCATTTAGAAGCAATCTGCCATATTAGTACTGGCTGAGTAAGCTTTAGAAGCCTTGGCAAGTATCTTCAATTATGTTTTTGTATTCTTTTATGCAGCTTACAGCCCTGATCTGTGGTTTCATTATCAAGCTGAGGAATTGCCTGCATGATAATGGATTCCTGAGGCAGCTGTATACCATTGGTCTGCTGGCACAATTTGAAAGCCTTTTAAGTACTTACGGTAAAGAACATCGCATGGGGAAAGCATGCAGTATTCTTATGAGTTATGAATTCCATGCAGCATTACCCTTAATGAAGTGTATGTAGATAACATAGGTCGTGCTATTCAAACACAAAAAGGCTAATAGGTTTAGAATCAAACCACGAAGCACAGTTAAGTTTTAAATCAGTCAACAAAATACAGTGCAACTAAAAAGCAGAGATGCATGTGATGATTATGAATGTGGTCCAGATTCAGAAACTGTGTCATGACCTTTGTGTATACTGAGGAGCTGCTCAAGCAGCAGAACAGCAATTTCCAGGCGTTGACCAGGATGAGCGAATCCTAACATCAGCTGCTTTTTAAAATGGAAAACATTCTGCTGGAGTGTACCTAAATGTTTTGATTTGTTGAGATTAATTTTATTTGGATTGTGTTATTTCAAACAATGGCAAGCCTTTCTAGCTGAAAGCCTTGGCAAAATGGAGAAGTTAAGGTTGAAATGTCAATCCAAACTCACAAGTTATTTTGGAAAATTGCTGCTTATGGTGCTGACACAAGTTGCAAAGAAAACTCTTGATTTGCCTTTGCTTTCAAAAATTAAATCAGTATTTCCCAGTTATAAACCCTGTTCCTTTCCAGGCTTTAGATAAGGATAATAATAGTCTGGGTTTATATTATATTCATCTGTGGAAGGAGGCTGGTGAAAGTTGGCTTCTCATTCATTCCTCTCCCCAGAAGTTCCAGAATTTCTCCCAAATGTCCTCTTGGGTTGGGTTCCCTGCTGTGTGGGATAGGTTGTAGTTCAGGGAAGTTTGCCAAAAAATTGGACAGGGATATATTTTGTGCCCTTCACCTGGTATCTTCAAACTCCCCTTCCCCTGACCTTAAAGAGAAAGAAGCAGAAGTATGAAAAATCAGCTGCTGCTTTTCTCTTTCATAAGCTCTTTGGTTGTCTCTGTGTTGATGGGTTTGATACTGGACATTGTTGCTTAAAATGTTTCCATGAGATCAGAATGTTCCACTCTGATCGGCACATTGAGGTATATACATTAGAAGGGACTCTCCAGCATCAGATTTTCAGATTTCAAATGTGGGTGGGAGGCAGGCAGGCAGGCAGGCAGGCAGGCAGGCAGGCAGGCAGGCAGGCAGGCAAGAAAGCACATTTTAAATGATGATTTTATTCAGGGCTTCCATTTGTACTTAATTTTAATTATTATTTATTTTAGCATAAGCATAAGCCACATTTCTTTATAAACTTTTACTTAATATAAAAATAACATAAAACAGCTTTTATTTATTCTAAGAATATAAGGTATACAGATGCATCTTTATGTATTCATTAGCTATTTTATATTTTCTGTCCTTCTTAAATCACATTACTATTGCATGCAGAAGTTTAAGCACCACTGATCCAAATGTATGTTTCAGTGAATTCCTAAGTGAACAGGAGTGGATACGGTACAACCTCTACACCAAACAAAGTTATACAGCAGCTTTCTCTAAATTTAAATATATACTTTCTATTTATGTGGATTTGTTTATAGATTCAAAATAAGAAAACCATGAATAGGGCAGGTGCAAAGATTTGGATATCTTTCAGCCAGGGCTTGGAATACCTCCTCTGGAAGAAATAAGAGCTGCCACCTATTTTCTGTAGCCAGCTAAGAGTTCTTGCTT